CTACCGAGATGAAATTTAAAGATAAAACAATGAAGTTCAAAAAAAATATAAAAATAAAATTCATAAAAAAATAATCATCGCTATCGCTTTTCAGCAATGTCAGGCAAGGATTCCCCTTTTTCGCAGATTCTTGAGCAGGCAACTACTGAATTTCAGCAGTTTGCCTCCAGTCTCCCTAAAGGTGCTATTGGAATCTATCCGAAGAAGATGGAAGGCTATCTTCTTCGTCTTATTAACTTCAAAGTCTTTCAAAAGTACTTCGCTGAGCTCACTGATGCTGAAGGATGGGCCCCTAAGACACCAACAGGCTGTGTCGTAGCTTTTACACCAAACCATCCTGATTACTTAAAAAGAATTTTAGACAAGTTTTCTACAGCTCCTGATTATCAGAAGCATGTCTTGATTATGCCAAGATATGGTGAAAGATGCAGAAATGTTGTTAAAACATCAGGATTGGATGGACAAATTAATATCGTCGAGTTTCATGCTGATATGGTTCCTGTAGAACCTTACGAGTTCCTTGTACCTGCTCCAGAAACATTTAAGAGACTATATATTGATGGCGATATCGATGATTTATTCTTAATTTCTCGTGCAATTGTCAAAATCGAAATTCTTCATGGTATGTTCCCAGAAGTTGTTACATTTGGTGAGAACTCAGAAAGAGTATCCCATCTTATTCAAGAAATGAAGGCTCAAATCGGTCTTGGCGCTTTCCAAGCCCATCCAACTTTCCACAAGATCATTATTCTCGACAGAATCGTTGATAACATGACCCCACTCCTTACCCAATTTACATACAACGGCGTTCTTGATGAAACAATGAACCCTTCTTACGGACTTCTCAATTTAACAGATGATATCAAGTCTGACAAGCGCCAGATCATCGTTAGTGATGATGATCCAGCGTTCAAAGACATTCGCGGAATGAAGCTTCCTGAGGCCAACGCTTTCATCGCAAAGTGCGGTGAAGAAATGAACAAAATTACTCGCGGTGAAGTACTCAAGAAGGTATGGAAATGGCTAAATTCAAGGTACAGGCCATGCACGCACAGAGCTTGGCCAACAGAAAGCCTTACTTCGCACTTCATCTCGAAATCATGGCACATCTTACTCTCGCTAAGGCCAACGATGAGCTTTTCAATGAAGCCATCGGCTTTGAACTCAATTCCATCCTCGGATTCGAACCACCTCTTGATTTAGCAAATCGACTCATCAGATACGACGAACACTGGTCAGAAGCGCTTCGTCTCTACTGCATTGCATCACAATCCCGCGGTGGCCTGCCCGGAAACATCATTATTCCATTCAGAAACAAGCTCATTGCCAGATTTGGCCTTAGTTTCGTCAAATACCTCGAACAGATGGAAAAGATCGGCCTTCTCACACAACAGAGGACAATTCTCTTCGTTCCAATTCCTCGCGCCTTCTCTTTCAGTTCATCTGCTTCACTTTTCGGATTATTACCAAAGAATTCGAACCAAGATGTCGTAGATGACTTCAACAACAAAGACATTGGCTCCTTCTACGATGGTTACGTTCCCTCACAGCCCGTCTCGTCCAACAAGCGACGGAAGGACCAATTACTAAGTCTAGCTACTTGAAAGCGTTCGATGCACTGAATATCAAGTACAAAGTCAAGACTGTTGTTGACCAGCCTTTCGCTGAAGAGCCAGATGTCAAGAAGATACTGGTGTTTATCATCGGAGGCATGACATACTCTGAATCCATCGCAATCAGAGAAATTGGAAACAGAATCTACTCAGGAGGTGTTGAGTACTATATCGGAAGTACTTCTATCATCTCTGCAAATAGATTCCTTAAGGAAATGTGTCCAATTATGCCTGATTAAGAATACTTTTAATGTTAATTAAAAAGATGTCATTTTATTTTATTTGATTACCAATACAATGATTCTATTATGGAGTAAATACACTGTATAAATAAATTATTTTTTAAAAAATAATGTTAATACAATATTAACTCTATCTTCAACATAACAAGGCATACTAAATGTTTATATAATTTCTTTTGATCTTGACAGACACTCAAAAGAGAGAAAAGAAATAATTATGAAAAGCTTTAATTTATAAGTTCAAAGTGCGATTTATGAAATTAAGGTATTCAATTGAAGAAACATCCAATGAAAGTTCCTGAATAAATAAGTTGCAGCATCTGTAGTCCAAGTATTCTTCCGCCACTATTCTTGTTAAACTTGCTTTCTTGTCGATTCAAGAGTGAATAGTCAAAATAATCAAGAAATTGTCTTCGACATGTTTTAATGCTGAAATATGTTAAAGAAGATCCCAAAAATTGGTTCATTAACAATTGCGATTTACTACATTTTTGATGATGCAACTTGAAGAGAAGTCCTTCCATAATGAGCTTTTCCTTCAATATGTACATCATGTAAAAGATTAAATTTAACTGTTTCTTTACTATGATATTAACCGGTTCAATCTGAAGATCTGTTTCATTTCGTTAAAGATATTTTTGTTTCTTGTAAAAAGTGTTTGTTATCTATAAAAAGAAATTTTTAACTATTTATATATAAAACAAACAAGCAAATAACTAATATTTATTTGGATAAAAATGTTAGAAGGAAAACTTCAATAGCCTGTAATTCTCTTTCATCAAATATCTTATTCCTGACCTCTGGACTCAAATCATTCATGAATTCATTGATTGTTTTTTGCAATTGCAGCAGGATTTTCAATAAAAGGCGGGGAATAGCATTTCATTACAGGGATTTCGATTCCATTCATCATTCCGTACATCAGGATAGTTGAAACATCCTTTGAAAGAAGTAAAACCTTTGGAAGAATTCCTGATACGTTAATTGGGGTGAAACCATCGATCTAAGCTCTGTTTCTACATCATCTGTATCTGGTTTAATGTATTTCTTCTTTTGTATCTTAGAAGAAGGCTTTATCATCAAAGTAAACTGCATCAATAAATATTTCCCGAGAAATTCACTGGCAGGACCAAGAAAAGAGTCAACAAGGCCAATGACTTTATCAAATATGGCTACTTGTTGATGATTATTCGAGTAAACCATGAATTCCGCAAATAAACTTGAAGCAATTGCGATTTTTACGCCAGAATGAGATGTCAATTGGGTTAATTCTGATAGTTCTCGACTAAACAAGTTCAAAAGTTTAGATCTCTCCTTTCTATCAGTTAATAATTTTTGGACATCTTTAATTTCTTTCCGGAGATTGGAAATTTCAGTGGTAACATCAGTGTTCTTTAGTATATACAACATTTCTGACTTGATTTTCGACTCCGTTGTTGTATTTATCAAATTTAGGCTTTCTTGAAGGGCTTTTTTAACGTCATTCTGGTTAGGATTGAGTATAATCGATGGAGAACTAAATAACTTGTACAGCGATGAGTTGTTTTTTTCTTCTTTTTGATCTCAAATATTATCAATTCCCAAATATTTCATTGAATAGCATGGGAACCAGAACGGAAGCTCGTCAATATCCTCTAATGCATCATCTAGAGTCTGTTCCGTGATGTTTTTGATTGGTCTTTCAATGGATTTTGGAAAATCAGAAAATTGTTGAATGGAAACAATGAATCTATAAAGAATCAATAAGCTTTTGGTAGTAAAAAAGATTGGTTGATGTGCACATTGAACAATATCGCAAAAAGAAGCAAGAGATGGCAATTTTTGTTTTGCTTTTGATTCATTTATCAAATCAATGACAACGAAGGGATTAAATGACTGAAATTCTTGCATTTGTTGTAATTCTTTGTCAATTTCTGGTAATCTTTCTTTAGATTTAAATTTTGATTCGAAAACTTGATAAATATTAGAGAAATACTGGGCATCTTCATTCGCCATTGGAATTTCACATACTCCGTAAAGTAAAAGATTGATGAAAACTGGTTTAATGAGGCAATCAAAAAATAATATTCTAATTAAATTATTTTTCTCGACTTCTTTGTCTGTAATATATTCGCATTCATCAACAAGTTTGAAAAACTGTTGATAGAAATTGTTTAATACATCAGGAAGAAGATAAAAATTATTTTGAATTTTTTCTAAGCATGTTTCAGCGTAAGTAAGTAAATATTTTGCAACAAACTTGTCTGAACTGTTGTAAATTTGTATGAAATCAATCAAAATTTCATGAAATGTTTCTCTCATAAAAGGAAGTAAATTTAAGCATGAATAGAATCCTCTGACTGCATGACAAAACCAATTATTGAAAGCATCTGCGTAATTTCCTTTGTTATCTATTAATATCTGTGAAAACCAGTAAATAAGTTGATTTGCATATGATTTGGCTGGTTCGTCTGCCCAGCAGTATGCAAAAAGTGCTGGAAATACGGTTCTTAATAATGTTATTGATGGATGAATTAACGATTTATTTTTTGGGAGTTTTGTAATATCAATTTTGTAAAATGCAGGTAAGAACTGTTCGAAACTATCGAATAATGAATTTAAAAATGATTTGAATGGTACTGTGGAAAAATCATCTGGCAAATCTAAGGAAGTAAAAGAATCTGCTGCTTCAATCTTATCTGTTTTCATTGGTAATTGCTTTATGAACTTTTTCATTTGGCTTTTGTCACAGTTTTCCATTATTGTTAAGCGATTTATAAATAAAAATTTCGAAATTAGTAATTGTTTCATCATAGTTGTAACAGAAACTTGATTCCTATCGATTTGGTCATTCAATACTTTGAGGAGGAGTGTTTGTTTATGAATTTCTTTTTGGAGCTCAAAACAATTTTGCTCCACCTCCATCAAAAGTGAGAATCTTGATTGGAAATAGATTATTCATATAAATTTCTAAGTAATACAAGCAAACATATCACAAAACCTTTTAATTGTATGAAACGGAAGATAAAATATTGGCTTTGACTAAAAATCATTCTTAAACAATATTTTATAAGGTATGTAGGATCGAAATATAATATTGTCGCTTAAAAAATAAATGATATGTCAGAATGTCAGATATGATGACAAATTTTTTTTTATTTTCTTCATGGCATTTAAGATACAGACATTGTTATTTCTTTCTTCAATGATGACTGTTCTCTTTCTTGCCTCTGCTTTATTCCTCGAATACAAATATCTCAAAACTTCAATGCTTTACCTGATTTTTAAAGGTAGGTATCGATACATCTTTTACTCAATGATATCAGTAATGTTTTTCGCGGTCTTGTTGGAATTTGTTATATATTTAGATCCTTCGAAATCAAGATTAATATATTATTCGGCATATACATTAGTTACTTTATCCGAAATTGGATTGATGACATACGGAATCGGATTTATTAAAATGGATGAAAAGCAGTTAAAGGACGTATGGACAAATGTAACTTATCAAGACCAATTTTCAAAAATAGAAAAAGCATTAAGATGCTGTGGTTATTCCAATGTTTTAATGTCAGCATCAGGAAAGTGCGTATATACAACTGTATGCCAAGAAGTTTTCAGCAATGAAGAAAGCTATCGTAGAACTGCAACAATAATTCTCGTTTTCTCTTCAATTTTATTCCAAATTTATAACTACCACGCTATATATACCATCTCTGGCCCACGAAAAGTCAAGCCAAGTGAATTTGAAGACTTAATTGAATCTGCACAATAAAATCTTGTTTTTATTTCTAGTTAAAGTGATAGATTTATGTGTTTTTGAATTCTATTTTTATCTTCTTTAGTTTTTCCGTTTGAAAATAAAATAAACTACCTCGATTTGCTGTTATTCATAATGAATATGGCTTTTTTCATACAAACAAAGTGTTGAGAATATATGACATAAAAATGTTAAATATCATATTGTTTAATAGCCCCTATACAAAGTTATTTTTCTATATTGATAAACTCATGTCTAATGATCATCATGCCAAAGATGCAAATGGAATTTGCATGAAAAATATATTTGATTTTGTTACATTCATGAAGAATGATTATTATTTGATTGTTTATGCTATAATAATCTTCAAGCATCTCTAATTTTCTTCGATTAAAATAATGATATTGAAAAATGCTTTATGAATTAATACAGGTTCAATATTTCATTATTTTGCAAATTTTTTTCTTTCACGTAGTGCAAATATCATTGAGCAAGGTGAATTTAGAAAGCACATTTTAATAGTAAAGAAGTAGTTGGTAGTCTTCTTCTATATAGTGCAAGTCTCAATAAAAAAGATGATATAAGAAAAACTGCTCATCATTATGCAGCTTTGAATAATTATAAAGAAATAATCGAAAATCTTACTACACATGGAGCGAAACTGTAATGTTTCATCTTAAGATATTTTTCGTAGATAATTTTCATTAGGAATAAATATATTTAATAAAAAACAGGTTGATATTCATTATGATAGAATAAAAATAGTTTTATTTAGTAAGATGTTTCCAGAAAAGATGTGTAGAAGGATAACGTAAAGATTTGAGATTTAAAAGATTATTCGAAACATGTGCAATATGACATGAAATCATAAGTCTTCGTGGAATTCCGGAAGAAACAATCATTTTAAGATAATCTGTGGATGTGTTCTCAATAATAAGAGGACATCGAATGGATTTGCAATCATGGAATGCATCAATCTCAACATCTGAAACTGAAAGTGGGAAATTGATGTATTTCAGATTTAAACAGTTGTTGAATGAATGTTCTTCAATAACAGAAACACTGTCTGATGTAATATTGATTTTCTCAATGTTGTTGCTAGAATTGAATGAATAACTACAGATAACATCGCAGCTAATGTTGAGTTCTTTGTCTTTTGAGGAACTCAAATGAAAAATAAGTTCCCATTTATTATTGTTTTTGTAGTATAAAGTATTATCAATACATTTGTATTTATCTGATGAAAAATTACTGATATTTGTAAGAGATTCGCATTCTGAAATAGAATTAATTGAAAATGTATCAAGTGAGTTTGTTTCACTGAATATAATTGATTTTAGTTTCTTACAATAAAGAAATGAATATTCTGAAATCATTTTAAAAGATTGTGGAATTTTAATACTTTCTAATGAAGAACAATTCTCAAATGATTTATATCCAATCTCTTCTGATCCTTCTCGAATTGTAACTTCTTCTAAATTAGTACATCCACAAAAACAATGATAAGGAATATTTGTGATATTATTAACTTTCTTTAATTTAATACAATTCTCAAATGCATTATTCATAACAGTCAAAACTGGTGATGAAAATGTGAAATTTTCTAAATTATTGCAATCTTTAAATGATGACATGCCTAATGTTTGTAAATAAGGAAATGAATAATTAAATGATCTTATTTTTGAACAATTTCTAAATGCTTCTTTTCCTATATAAGTTATTTGAGAATCTTCTGTGAAATAAAATTTCTCAATTATAGAATTTTCAAATACTTTTTCGTTGATTTTTTTAACAGATTTAGGAATTGTAATACGAGTATTATCATAATAAGGAAAGTATCCCCAATATTCATAAATTATGGCTTGATCAGAATCCATAATCAAACAATCTGGTGTAATAATAAGATTTGATTCATTCAGATATGAAATTGAAACTTTTGTATTTCTTTTAATTGGACAAAAAATATATGAAGAATGATAAAATAGAGTTTTGCAAGTGAACGACAATTTGACTTTTGGCATAGATTCTGTAACAAAATAAGATTCTATAACAGTCATTGTTGAATTAGGAAATTTAATTAGTTCAAGATTTTCACAACAACCAAATACATATTCACCAATGTAGTCTATTGGACCTAAAAAAGTAACATTTATTAAAGTTTGACAATCATAGAAAGCCATTTTTTCAATCCTTTTCACACTTGATGGAATTATAATTGTTCTGAGATCTGTACCATAAAAGGATTGAACACCAATAGTTGTGATTGAATTTGGAATTGTAAATATTCCGATACGTGAATGTAATAAGAAAAACTTTCCAAGAGTTGTGACTGTATTTGGAATTATAATTGTTTTGATATGTGAAAGTATAAAGCAATACTTTCCAATAGTTGTGGTTGAATTTGGAATTGTAATTGTTTCGATAGATGTACAATAAAAGCATTGATCTCCAATACTTGTGAGTGAATTTGGAAGAACAATAGTTTTTATGTGTGAATCATGAAAGCAATACACTCCAATAGTTGTGACTGAATTTGGAATTATAAGTGTTTCAATGGTTGAATATGAAAAGCAATACTCATTAATTGTTGTGATTGTATCTGGAATTTCATATCCTGTTTTGTTACAAATAAAAAATAAAATACTTTCATTTTTTGAATAAACAGCATTTCCATCAGATGTTAAGTAGTTATTATTTGGATGAACCGAAATATTTGTTAATTTTCCATAATAAAATGCTTCTCCATGAATTTTAGAAACTTTTTCTGGAATTTGAAACAAAGTGATTGCAGTTTGAGTAAATACTTTATTTTCTAATGAAGTTAAATTTGATCCTTCCTCAAAAGTAACATTTTGGAGTTTATCACAGCAATTAAATACCTTATTATGTATTTTTTCAACAGATGCTGGAATGATAATACTTGTCATTTGTGAAATAGAATAAAATGCACTGCTTCCTATTTCTAGGAGTCCGTCTGGTAAAAGTATCTGATTGACATTAGAACAGCCATTAAATGCATAAGAAGATATTTTTGTAAGTTTCTTGCATGATGATAGATTTATAGTAGTAAGATTTGTACATCCACAAAAATTATTTTTTCCAATTGTAGTTAAGTTAGGATTTTCTTCAAATGAAAAGGAAAATAAAGTTTTGAGAAGGTAAAAGCATTGATCTTGGATGATTTCGCATGTGGATGATATCCTGAGGTCTAGTGATGTATCATTAACTTTTGTGAGGTTTTTGCCGTCACTAGAATAAAAACGTTTGTCAATATCTTTGTAAAGAAGTAATAAAAAAGTAATCATAATGAATTACTCAATTACACCTTCTCCTTACGTCGTTGTTTATGATAGAAATTTGAGAAAAAATAGAGACCAACGCTCAATAAATTTTGAAAAAAAATTTTAAAAAAATTGAAAGAAACTATCACTATCAAAAATTGACAGTATTCGTTTTCACATTCTCAAAAAAATGAAATCTTATCTTTTCTTTTATTATTTTTAGAATTGAAAGATGGAATACAAAAATTTTTTACGGGTGCGACCAAAACCAAAAGTGAAATTTCACTAAAAGTGACGATTATTTTGAAAATTCATTATCCATGGCAATTATGTATACTATTCATCAGAACCTACTCTGTGGTATCATTTTATTTCTCGATGATGAAGTTTGAAGAATATTAAATTTGATGATTGAATTATTTGATATTATTTAATAAATATAATTCATCAATACAAAAAAAAATGATTGTGTATACTATATACTTCGATTATTGATATTAAGAAATGCTTTATTGATTAAGACAGATTCAATATTACATTCTTTTGCAAATATTTTCTTTCACATAGTGCAAATATCAATGAAAAAAAAAATGAATCTGGAAATACTTCTTTTTATTATTCAGCATTGAATAATAATAATAAAGAAACAGCAGAACTTATAATTTCATCTGGTGCAAAATTAATAATAAGAAAAAAATAAAAGAAAGAAAACACTTTTTAAAATAGTCGTGATTCTTAAAACATATGATACAAAACTATATTGTTTCTACATAAGATAATTTTCATTAGGAATAAATATATTTAATAGAAAACAGGATGTTGTTCATTATGATAAAATAAAAATAGTTTTACTTAGTAAGATGTTTCCAGAAAAGATGTGTAGAAGGATAACGTAAAGATTTGAGATTTAAAAGATTATTCGAAACATGTGCAATATGACATGAAATCATAAGTCTTCGTGGAATTCCGGAAGAAACAATCATTTTAAGATAATCTGTGGATGTGTTCTCAATAATAAGAGGACATCGAATGGATTTGCAATCATGGAATGCATCAATCTCAACATCTGAAACTGAAAGTGGGAAATTGATGTATTTCAGATTTAAACAGTTGTTGAATGAATGTTCTTCAATAACAGAAACACTGTCTGATGTAATATTGATTTTCTCAATGTTGTTGCTAGAATTGAATGAATAACTACAGATAACATCGCAGCTAATGTTGAGTTCTTTGTCTTTTGAGGAACTCAAATGAAAAATAAGTTCCCATTTATTATTGTTTTTGTAGTATAAAGTATTATCAATGCATTTGTATTTTTCTGATGAAAAATTACTGATATTTGTAAGAGATTCGCATTCTGAAATAGAATTAATTGAAAATGTATCAAGTGAGTTTGTTTCACTGAATATAATTGATTTTAGTTTCTTACAATAAAGAAATGAATATTCTGAAATCATTTTAATAGACTGTGGAATTTTAATACTTTCTAATGAAGAACAATTCTCAAATGATTTATATCCAATCTCTTCTGATCCTTCTCGAATTGTAACTTCTTCTAAATTAGTACATCCACAAAAACAATGATAAGGAATATTTGTGATATTATTAACTTTCTTTAATTTAATACAATTCTCAAATGCATTATTCATAACAGTCAAAACTGGTGATGAAAATGTGAAATTTTCTAAATTATTGCAATCTTTAAATGATGATGTTCCTAATGTTTGTAAATAAGGAAATGAATAATTAAATGATCTTATTTTTGAACAATTTCTAAATGCTTCTTTTCCTATATAAGTTATTTGAGAATCTTCTGTGAAATAAAATTTCTCAATTATAGAATTTTCAAATACTTTTTCGTTGATTTTTTTAACAGATTTAGGAATTGTAATACGAGTATTATCATAATAAGGAAAGTATCCCCAATATTCATAAATTATGGCTTGATCAGAATCCATAATCAAGCAGTCTGGTGTAATAATAAGATTTGATTCATTCAGATATGAAATTGAAACTTTTGTATTTCTTTGAATTGAATCAAAAATAGAATTTTGAGAATCATAAAATAGAGTTTTGCAAGTGAAGGATAATTTGACTTCTGGCATTTCTGTTGTAACAAAACCAGATCCTCTAACAGTCATTGTTGAATTAGGGAATTTAATTAGTTTAAGATTTTCACAATATTCAAATACATATTGATCAATGTAGTCTACTGGACCTAAAAAAGTAACTTCATGTAAATGATGACAATAAGAGAAAGCACCTCTTAGAATCATGTTTACACTTGCCGGAATTATAATTGAATCGAGATTTGTACTATAAAAGGATTGCTCCCAAATAGTTGTGATTGAATTTGGAATTGTAAATGTTCCGATATTTGCAAATATTAAGAATCTCTCTCCAAGAGTTGTGACTGTATTTGGAATTATAATTGTTTTGATGGATGAAGATACAAAGCAACTCTCTCCAATAGTTGTGGTTGAATTTGGAATTGTAATTGTTTCGATAGATGTATATTGAAAGCAATACATTCCAATACTTGTGAGTGAATTTGGAAGAACAATAGTTTTTATGTGTGAATCATGAAAGCAATACACTCCAATAGTTGTGACTGAATTTGGAATTATAAGTGTTTCAATGGTTGAATATGAAAAGCAATACTCATTAATTGTTGTGATTGTATCTGGAATTTCATATCCTGTTTTGTTACAAATAAAAAATAAAATACTTTCATTTTTTGAATAAACAGCATTTCCATCAGATGTTAAGTAGTTATTATTTGGATGAACCGAAATATTTGTTAATTTTCCATAATAAAATGCTTCTCCATGAATTTTAGAAACTTTTTCTGGAATTTGAAACGTAGTAATTGCAGTATAGTAAATACATATCTTTCTAATGAAGTTAAATTTGATCCTTCTTCCAAAGTAACATTTTGTAGTTTATCACAATAATTAAATTCAGCTTTTTCTATTCTTTTAACAGATGCTGGTAATAATAATACTTGTCATTTGTGTACATACCAAAATGCATCTCTTCCTATTTCAAGGAGTCCTTCTGGTAAAAGTATCTGATTGACATTAGTGCAGTATAAATGCACCAGAAGATATTTTTGTAAGTTTCTTGCATGATGATAGATTTATAATAGTAAGATTTGTACATCCACAAAAACTATTTTTTCCAATTGTAGTTAAGTTAGGATTTTCTTCAAATGAAAAGGAAAATAAAGTTTTGAGAAGGTAAAAGCATTGATCTTGGATGATTTCGCATGTGGATGATATCCTGAGGTCTAGTGATGTATCATTAACTTTTGTGAGGTTTTTGCCGTCACTAGAATAAAAACGTTTGTCAATATCTTTGTAAAGAAGTAATAAAAAAGTAATCATAATGAATTACTCAATTACACCTTCTCCTTACGTCGTTGTTTATGATAGAAATTTGAGAAAAAGATAGAGACCAACGCTCAATAAATTTTGAAAAAAAATTTTAAAAAAATTGAAAGAAACTATCACTATCAAAAATTGACAGTATTCGTTTTCACATTCTCAAAAAAATGAAATCTTATCTTTTCTTTTATTATTTTTAGAATTGAAAGATGGAATACAAAAATTTTTTACGGGTGCGACCAAAACCAAAAGTGAAATTTCACTAAAAGTGACGATTATTTTGAAAATTCATTATCCATGGCAATTATGTATACTATTCATCAGAACCTACTCTGTGGTATCATTTTATTTCTCGATGATGAAGTTTGAAGAATATTAAATTTGATGATTGAATTATTTGATATTATTTAATAAATATAATTCATCAATACAAAAAAAATGATTGTGTATACTATATACTTCGATTATTGATATTAAGAAATGCTTTATTGATTAAGACAGATTCAATATTACATTCTTTTGCAAATATTTTCTTTCACATAGTGCAAATATCAATGAAAAAAAAATGAATCTGGAAATACTTCTTTTTATTATTCAGCATTGAATAATAATAATAAAGAAACAGCAGAACTTATAATTTCATCTGGTGCAAACATTAATAATAAGAAAAAAATAAAAGAAAGAAAACACTTTTTAAAATAGTCGTGATTCTTAAAACATATGATACAAAACTATATTGTTTCTACATAAGATAATTTTCATTAGGAATAAATATATTTAATAGAAAACAGGATGTTGTTCATTATGATAAAATAAAAATAGTTTTACTTAGTAAGATGTTTCCAGAAAAGATGTGTAGAAGGATAACGTAAAGATTTGAGATTTAAAAGATTATTCGAAACATGTGCAATATGACATGAAATCATAAGTCTTCGTGGAATTCCGGAAGAAACAATCATTTTAAGATAATCTGTGGATGTGTTCTCAATAATAAGAGGACATCGAATGGATTTGCAATCATGGAATGCATCAATCTCAACATCTGAAACTGAAAGTGGGAAATTGATGTATTTCAGATTTAAACAGTTGTTGAATGAATGTTCTTCAATAACAGAAACACTGTCTGATGTAATATTGATTTTCTCAATGTTGTTGCTAGAATTGAATGAATAACTACAGATAACATCGCAGCTAATGTTGAGTTCTTTGTCTTTTGAGGAACTCAAATGAAAAATAAGTTCCCATTTATTATTGTTTTTGTAGTATAAAGTATTATCAATGCATTTGTATTTTTCTGATGAAAAATTACTGATATTTGTAAGAGATTCGCATTCTGAAATAGAATTAATTGAAAATGTATCAAGTGAGTTTGTTTCACTGAATATAATTGATTTTAGTTTCTTACAATAAAGAAATGAATATTCTGAAATGATTTTAAAAGATTGTGGAATTTTAATACTTAATAATGAAGAACAATTCTCAAATGATTTATATCCAATCTCTTCTGATCCTTCTCGAATTGTAACTTCTTCTAAATTAGTACATCCACAAAAACAATGATAAGGAATATTTGTGATATTAACTTTCTTTAATTTAATGCAATTCTCAAATGCATTATTCATAACAGTCAAAACTGGTGATGAAAATGTGAAATTTTCTAAATTATTGCAATCTTTAAATGATGATGCCTAATGTTTGTAAATAAGGAAATGAATAATTAAATGATCTTATTTTTGAACAATTTCTAAATGCTTCTTTTCCTATATAAGTTATTTGAGAATCTTCTGTGAAATAAAATTTCTCAATTATAGAATTTTCAAATACTTTTTCGTTGATTTTTTTAACAGATTTAGGAATTGTAATACGAGTATTATCATAATAAGGAAAATATCCCCAATATTCATAAATTATGGCTTGATCAGAATCCATAATCAAGCAGTCTGGTGTAATAATAAGATTTGATTCATTCAGATATGATATTGAAACATTTGTATTTCTTTTAATTGAATAAAAGCAGGAAATTGAGGATCGTAAAATAGAGTTTTGCAAGTGAACGATAATTTGACTTCTGGCATTTCTGTTGTAACAAAACCAGATCCTCTAACAGTCATTGTTGAATTAGGGAATTTAATTAGTTCAAGATTTTCACAACAACCAAATACATATTCACCAATGTAGTCTATTGGACCTAAAAAAGTAACATTTATTAAAGTTTGACAATCATAGAAAGCCATTTTTTCAATCCTTTTCACACTTGATGGAATTATAATTGTTCTGAGATCTGTACCATAAAAGGATTGAACACCAATAGTTGTGATTGAATTTGGAATTGTAAATATTCCGATACGTGAATGTAATAAGAAAAACTTTCCAAGAGTTGTGACTGTATTTGGAATTATAATTGTTTTGATATGTGAAAGTATAAAGCAATACTTTCCAATAGTTGTGGTTGAATTTGGAATTGTAATTGTTTCGATAGATGTACAATAAAAGCATTGATCTCCAATACTTGTGAGTGAATTTGGAAGAACAATAGTTTTTATGTGTGAATCATGAAAGCAATACACTCCAATAGTTGTGACTGAATTTGGAATTATAAGTGTTTCAATGGTTGAATATGAAAAGCAATACTCATTAATTGTTGTGATTGTATCTGGAATTTCATATCCTGTTTTGTTACAAATAAAAAATAAAATACTTTCATTTTTTGAATAAACAGCATTTCCATCAGATGTTAAGTAGTTACTACTAGGATGAACCGAAATATTTGTTAATTTTCCATAATAAAATGCTTCTCCATGAATTTTAGAAACTTTTTCTGGAATTTGAAACAAAGTGATTGCAGTTTGAGTAAATACTTTATTTTCTAATGAAGTTAAATTTGATCCTTCCTCAAAAGTAACATTTTGGAGTTTATCACAGCAATTAAATACCTTATTATGTATTTTTTCAACAGATGCTGGAATGATAATACTTGTCATTTGTGAAATAGAATAAAATGCACTGCTTCCTATTTCTAGGAGTCCTTCTGGTAAAAGTATCTGATTGACATTAGAACAGCCATTAAATGCATAAGAAGATATTTTTGTAAGTTTCTTGCATGATGATAGATTTATAGTAGTAAGATTTGTACATCCACAAAAACTATTTTTTCCAATTGTAGTTAAGTTAGGATTTTCTTCAAATGAAAAGGAAAATAAAGTTTTGAGAAGGTAAAAGCATTGATCTTGGATGATTTCGCATGTGGATGATATCCTGAGGTCTAGTGATGTATCATTAACTTTTGTGAGGTTTTTGCCGTCACTAGAATAAAAACGTTTGTCAATATCTTTGTAAAGAAGTAATAAAAAAGTAATCATAATGAATTACTCAATTACACCTTCTCCTTACGTCGTTGTTTATGATAGAAATTTGAGAAAAAGATAGAGACCAACGCTCAATAAATTTTGAAAAAAAATTTTAAAAAAATTGAAAGAAACTATCACTATCAAAAATTGACAGTATTCGTTTTCACATTCTCAAAAAAATGAAATCTTATCTTTTCTTTTATTATTTTTAGAATTGAAAGATGGAATACAAAAATTTTTTACGGGTGCGACCAAAACCAAAAGTGAAATTTCACTAAAAGTGACGATTATTTTGAAAATTCATTATCCATGGCAATTATGTATACTATTCATCAGAACCTACTCTGTGGTATCATTTTATTTCTCGATGATGAAGTTTGAAGAATATTAAATTTGATGATTGAATTATTTGATATTATTTAATAAATATAATTCATCAATACAAAAAAAATGATTGTGTATACTATATACTTCGATTATTGATATTAAGAAATGCTTTATTGATTAAGACAGATTCAATATTACATTCTTTTGCAAATATTTTCTTTCACATAGTGCAAATATCAATGAAAAAAAAATGAATCTGGAAATACTTCTTTTTATTATTCAGCATTGAATAATAATAATAAAGAAACAGCAGAACTTATAATTTCATCTGGTGCAAACATTAATAATAAGAAAAAAATAAAAGAAAGAAAACACTTTTTAAAATAGTCGTGATTCTTAAAACATATGATACAAAACTATATTGTTTCTACATAAGATAATTTTCATTAGGAATAAATATATTTAATAGAAAACAGGATGTTGTTCATTATGATAAAATAAAAATAGTTTTACTTAGTAAGATGTTTCCAGAAAAGATGTGTAGAAGGATAACGTAAAGATTTGAGATTTAAAAGATTATTCGAAACATGTGCAATATGACATGAAATCATAAGTCTTCGTGGAATTCCGGAAGAAACAATCATTTTAAGATAATCTGTGGATGTGTTCTCAATAATAAGAGGACATCGAATGGATTTGCAATCATGGAATGCATCAATCTCAACATCTGAAACTGAAAGTGGGAAATTGATGTATTTCAGATTTAAACAGTTGTTGAATGAATGTTCTTCAATAACAGAAACACTGTCTGATGTAATATTGATTTTCTCAATGTTGTTGCTAGAATTGAATGAATAACTACAGATAACATCGCAGCTAATGTTGAGTTCTTTGTCTTTTGAGGAACTCAAATGAAAAATAAGTTCCCATTTATTATTGTTTTTGTAGTATAAAGTATTATCAATGCATTTGTATTTTTCTGATGAAAAATTACTGATATTTGTAAGAGATTCGCATTCTGAAATAGAATTAATTGAAAATGTATCAAGTGAGTTTGTTTCACTGAATATAATTGATTTTAGTTTCTTACAATAAAGAAATGAATATTCTGAAATGATTTTAAAAGATTGTGGAATTTTAATACTTAATAATGAAGAACAATTCTCAAATGATTTATATCCAATCTCTTCTGATCCTTCTCGAATTGTAACTTCTTCTAAATTAGTACATCCACAAAAACAATGATAAGGAATATTTGTGATATTACGAACTTTCTTTAATTTAATGCAATTCTCAAATGCATTATTCATAACAGTCAAAACTGGTGATGAAAATGTGAAATTTTCTAAATTATTGCAATCTTTAAATGATGATGTTCCTAATGTTTGTAAATAAGGAAATGAATAATTAAATGATCTTATTTTTGAACAATTTCTAAATGCTTCTTTTCCTATATAAGTTATTTGAGAATCTTCTGTGAAATAAAATTTCTCAATTATAGAATTTTCAAATACTTTTTCGTTGATTTTTTTAACAGATTTAGGAATTGTAATACGAGTATTATCATAATAAGGAAAATATCCCCAATATTCATAAATTATGGCTTGATCAGAATCCATAATCAAGCAGTCTGGTGTAATAATAAGATTTGATTCATTCAGATATGATATTGAAACATTTGTATTTCTTTTAATTGAATAAAAAGCAGGAAATTGAGGATCGTAAAATAGAGTTTTGCAAGTGAACGATAATTTGACTTCTGGCATTTCTGTTGTAACAAAACCAGATCCTCTAACAGTCATTGTTGAATTAGGGAATTTAATTAGTTCAAGATTTTCACAACAACCAAATACATATTCACCAATGTAGTCTATTGGACCTAAAAAAGTAACATTTATTAAAGTTTGACAATCATAGAAAGCCATTTTTTCAATCCTTTTCACACTTGATGGAATTATAATTGTTCTGAGATCTGTACCATAAAAGGATTGAACACCAATAGTTGTGATTGAATTTGGAATTGTAAATATTCCGATACGTGAATGTAATAAGAAAAACTTTCCAAGAGTTGTGACTGTATTTGGAATTATAATTGTTTTGATATGTGAAAGTATAAAGCAATACTTTCCAATAGTTGTGGTTGAATTTGGAATTGTAATTGTTTCGATAGATGTACAATAAAAGCATTGATCTCCAATACTTGTGAGTGAATTTGGAAGAACAATAGTTTTTATGTGTGAATCATGAAAGCAATACACTCCAATAGTTGTGACTGAATTTGGAATTATAAGTGTTTCAATGGTTGAATATGAAAAGCAATACTCATTAATTGTTGTGATTGTATCTGGAATTTCATATCCTGTTTTGTTACAAATAAAAAATAAAATACTTTCATTTTTGAATAAACAGCATTTCCATCAGATGTTAAGTAGTTACTACTAGGATGAACCGAAATATTTGTTAATTTTCCATAATAAAATGCTTCTCCATGAATTTTAGAAACTTTTTCTGGAATTTGAAACAAAGTGATTGCAGTTTGAGTAAATACTTTATTTTCTAATGAAGTTAAATTTGATCCTTCCTCAAAAGTAACATTTTGGAGTTTATCACAGCAATTAAATACCTTATTATGTATTTTTTCAACAGATGCTGGAATGAAATACTTGTCATTTGTGAAATAGAATAAAATGCACTGCTTCCTATTTCTAGGAGTCCTTCTGGTAAAAGTATCTGATTGACATTAGAACAGCCATTAAATGCATAAGAAGATATTTTTGTAAGTTTCTTGCATGATGATAGATTTATAGTAGTAAGATTTGTACATCCACAAAAACTATTTTTTCCAATTGTAGTTAAGTTAGGATTTTCTTCAAATGAAAAGGAAAATAAAGTTTTGAGAAGGTAAAAGCATTGATCTTGGATGATTTCGCATGTGGATGATATCCTGAGGTCTAGTGATGTATCATTAACTTTTGTGAGGTTTTTGCCGTCACTAGAATAAAAACGTTTGTCAATATCTTTGTAAAGAAGTAATAAAAAAGTAATCATAATGAATTACTCAATTACACCTTCTCCTTACGTCGTTGTTTATGATAGAAATTTGAGAAAAAGATAGAGACCAACGCTCAATAAATTTTGAAAAAAATTTTAAAAAAATTGAAAGAAACTATCACTATCAAAAATTGACAGTATTCGTTTTCACATTCTCAAAAAAATGAAATCTTATCTTTTCTTTTATTATTTTTAGAATTGAAAGATGGAATACAAAAATTTTTTACGGGTGCGACCAAAACCAAAAGTGAAATTTCACTAAAAGTGACGATTATTTTGAAAATTCATTATCCATGGCAATTATGTATACTATTCATCAGAACCTACTCTGTGGTATCATTTTATTTCTCGATGATGAAGTTTGAAGAATATTAAATTTGATGATTGAATTATTTGATATTATTTAATAAATATAATTCATCAATACAAAAAAAATGATTGTGTATACTATATACTTCGATTATTGATATTAAGAAATGCTTTATTGATTAAGACAGATTCAATATTACATTCTTTTGCAAATATTTTCTTTCACATAGTGCAAATATCAATGAAAAAAAAAATGAATCTGGAAATACTTCTTTTTTTATTCAGCATTGAATAATAATAATAAAGAAACAGCAGAACTTATAATTTCATCTGGTGCAAACATTAATAATAAGAAAAAAATAAAAGAAAGAAAACACTTTTTAAAATAGTCGTGATTCTTAAAACATATGATACAAAACTATATTGTTTCTACATAAGATAATTTTCATTAGGAATAAATATATTTAATAGAAAACAGGATGTTGTTCATTATGATAAAATAAAAATAGTTTTACTTAGTAAGATGTTTCCAGAAAAGATGTGTAGAAGGATAACGTAAAGATTTGAGATTTAAAAGATTATTCGAAACATGTGCAATATGACATGAAATCATAAGTCTTCGTGGAATTCCGGAAGAAACAATCATTTTAAGATAATCTGTGGATGTGTTCTCAATAATAAGAGGACATCGAATGGATTTGCAATCATGGAATGCATCAATCTCAACATCTGAAACTGAAAGTGGGAAATTGATGTATTTCAGATTTAAACAGTTGTTGAATGAATGTTCTTCAATAACAGAAACACTGTCTGATGTAATATTGATTTTCTCAATGTTGTTGCTAGAATTGAATGAATAACTACAGATAACATCGCAGCTAATGTTGAGTTCTTTGTCTTTTGAGGAACTCAAATGAAAAATAAGTTCCCATTTATTATTGTTTTTGTAGTATAAAGTATTATCAATGCATTTGTATTTTTCTGATGAAAAATTACTGATATTTGTAAGAGATTCGCATTCTGAAATAGAATTAATTGAAAATGTATCAAGTGAGTTTGTTTCACTGAATATAATTGATTTTAGTTTCTTACAATAAAGAAATGAATATTCTGAAATGATTTTAAAAGATTGTGGAATTTTAATACTTAATAATGAAGAACAATTCTCAAATGATTTATATCCAATCTCTTCTGATCCTTCTCGAATTGTAACTTCTTCTAAATTAGTACATCCACAAAAACAATGATAAGGAATATTTGTGATATTACGAACTTTCTTTAATTTAATGCAATTCTCAAATGCATTATTCATAACAGTCAAAACTGGTGATGAAAATGTGAAATTTTCTAAATTATTGCAATCTTTAAATGATGATGTTCCTAATGTTTGTAAATAAGGAAATGAATAATTAAATGATCTTATTTTTGAACAATTTCTAAATGCTTCTTTTCCTATATAAGTTATTTGAGAATCTTCTGTGAAATAAAATTTCTCAATTATAGAATTTTCAAATACTTTTTCGTTGATTTTTTTAACAGATTTAGGAATTGTAATACGAGTATTATCATAATAAGGAAAATATCCCCAATATTCATAAATTATGGCTTGATCAGAATCCATAATCAAGCAGTCTGGTGTAATAATAAGATTTGATTCATTCAGATATGATATTGAAACATTTGTATTTCTTTTAATTGAATAAAAAGCAGGAAATTGAGGATCGTAAAATAGAGTTTTGCAAGTGAACGATAATTTGACTTCTGGCATTTCTGTTGTAACAAAACCAGATCCTCTAACAGTCATTGTTGAATTAGGGAATTTAATTAGTTCAAGATTTTCACAACAACCAAATACATATTCACCAATGTAGTCTATTGGACCTAAAAAAGTAACATTTATTAAAGTTTGACAATCATAGAAAGCCATTTTTTCAATCCTTTTCACACTTGATGGAATTATAATTGTTCTGAGATCTGTACCATAAAAGGATTGAACACCAATAGTTGTGATTGAATTTGGAATTGTAAATATTCCGATACGTGAATGTAATAAGAAAAACTTTCCAAGAGTTGTGACTGTATTTGGAATTATAATTGTTTTGATATGTGAAAGTATAAAGCAATACTTTCCAATAGTTGTGGTTGAATTTGGAATTGTAATTGTTTCGATAGATGTACAATAAAAGCATTGATCTCCAATACTTGTGAGTGAATTTGGAAGAACAATAGTTTTTATGTGTGAATCATGAAAGCAATACACTCCAATAGTTGTGACTGAATTTGGAATTATAAGTGTTTCAATGGTTGAATATGAAAAGCAATACTCATTAATTGTTGTGATTGTATCTGGAATTTCATATCCTGTTTTGTTACAAATAAAAAATAAAATACTTTCATTTTTTGAATAAACAGCATTTCCATCAGATGTTAAGTAGTTACTACTAGGATGAACCGAAATATTTGTTAATTTTCCATAATAAAATGCTTCTCCATGAATTTTAGAAACTTTTTCTGGAATTTGAAACAAAGTGATTGCAGTTTGAGTAAATACTTTATTTTCTAATGAAGTTAAATTTGATCCTTCCTCAAAAGTAACATTTTGGAGTTTATCACAGCAATTAAATACCTTATTATGTATTTTTTCAACAGATGCTGGAATGATAATACTTGTCATTTGTGAAATAGAATAAAATGCACTGCTTCCTATTTCTAGGAGTCCTTCTGGTAAAAGTATCTGATTGACATTAGAACAGCCATTAAATGCATAAGAAGATATTTTTGTAAGTTTCTTGCATGATGATAGATTTATAGTAGTAAGATTTGTACATCCACAAAAACTATTTTTTCCAATTGTAGTTAAGTTAGGATTTTCTTCAAATGAAAAGGAAAATAAAGTTTTGAGAAGGTAAAAGCATTGATCTTGGATGATTTCGCATGTGGATGATATCCTGAGGTCTAGTGATGTATCATTAACTTTTGTGAGGTTTTTGCCGTCACTAGAATAAAAACGTTTGTCAATATCTTTGTAAAGAAGTAATAAAAAAGTAATCATAATGAATTACTCAATTACACCTTCTCCTTACGTCGTTGTTTATGATAGAAATTTGAGAAAAAGATAGAGACCAACGCTCAATAAATTTTGAAAAAAAATTTTAAAAAAAATTGAAAGAAACTATCACTATCAAAAATTGACAGTATTCGTTTTCACATTCTCAAAAAAATGAAATCTTATCTTTTCTTTTATTATTTTTAGAATTGAAAGATGGAATACAAAAATTTTTTACGGGTGCGACCAAAACCAAAAGTGAAATTTCACTAAAAGTGACGATTATTTTGAAAATTCATTATCCATGGCAATTATGTATACTATTCATCAGAACCTACTCTGTGGTATCATTTTATTTCTCGATGATGAAGTTTGAAGAATATTAAATTTGATGATTGAATTATTTGATATTATTTAATAAATATAATTCATCAATACAAAAAAAATGATTGTGTATACTATATACTTCGATTATTGATATTAAGAAATGCTTTATTGATTAAGACAGATTCAATATTACATTCTTTTGCAAATATTTTCTTTCACATAGTGCAAATATCAATGAAAAAAAAAATGAATCTGGAAATACTTCTTTTTATTATTCAGCATTGAATAATAATAATAAAGAAACAGCAGAACTTATAATTTCATCTGGTGCAAACATTAATAATAAGAAAAAAAATAAAAGAAAGAAAACACTTTTTAAAATAGTCGTGATTCTTAAAACATATGATACAAAACTATATTGTTTCTACATAAGATAATTTTCATTAGGAATAAATATATTTAATAGAAAACAGGATGTTGTTCATTATGATAAAATAAAAATAGTTTTACTTAGTAAGATGTTTCCAGAAAAGATGTGTAGAAGGATAACGTAAAGATTTGAGATTTAAAAGATTATTCGAAACATGTGCAATATGACATGAAATCATAAGTCTTCGTGGAATTCCGGAAGAAACAATCATTTTAAGATAATCTGTGGATGTGTTCTCAATAATAAGAGGACATCGAATGGATTTGCAATCATGGAATGCATCAATCTCAACATCTGAAACTGAAAGTGGGAAATTGATGTATTTCAGATTTAAACAGTTGTTGAATGAATGTTCTTCAATAACAGAAACACTGTCTGATGTAATATTGATTTTCTCAATGTTGTTGCTAGAATTGAATGAATAACTACAGATAACATCGCAGCTAATGTTGAGTTCTTTGTCTTTTGAGGAACTCAAATGAAAAATAAGTTCCCATTTATTATTGTTTTTGTAGTATAAAGTATTATCAATGCATTTGTATTTTTCTGATGAAAAATTACTGATATTTGTAAGAGATTCGCATTCTGAAATAGAATTAATTGAAAATGTATCAAGTGAGTTTGTTTCACTGAATATAATTGATTTTAGTTTCTTACAATAAAGAAATGAATATTCTGAAATGATTTTAAAAGATTGTGGAATTTTAATACTTAATAATGAAGAACAATTCTCAAATGATTTATATCCAATCTCTTCTGATCCTTCTCGAATTGTAACTTCTTCTAAATTAGTACATCCACAAAAACAATGATAAGGAATATTTGTGATATTACGAACTTTCTTTAATTTAATGCAATTCTCAAATGCATTATTCATAACAGTCAAAACTGGTGATGAAAATGTGAAATTTTCTAAATTATTGCAATCTTTAAATGATGATGTTCCTAATGTTTGTAAATAAGGAAATGAATAATTAAATGATCTTATTTTTGAACAATTTCTAAATGCTTCTTTTCCTATATAAGTTATTTGAGAATCTTCTGTGAAATAAAATTTCTCAATTATAGAATTTTCAAATACTTTTTCGTTGATTTTTTTAACAGATTTAGGAATTGTAATACGAGTATTATCATAATAAGGAAAGTATCCCCAATATTCATAAATTATGGCTTGATCAGAATCCATAATCAAGCAGTCTGGTGTAATAATAAGATTTGATTCATTCAGATATGAAATTGAAACTTTTGTATTTCTTTTAATTGACAAAAAATAATGAAGAATGATAAAATAGAGTTTTGCAAGTGAACGATAATTTGACTTCTGGCATTTCTGTTGTAACAAAACCAGATCCTCTAACAGTCATTGTTGAATTAGGGAATTTAATTAGTTTAAGATTTTCACAATATTCAAATACATATTGATCAATGTAGTCTACTGGACCTAAAAAAGTAACTTCATGTAAATGATGACAATAAGAAAGCACCTCTTAGAATCATGTTTACACTTGCCGGAATTATAATTGAATCGAGATTTGTACTATAAAAGGATTGCTCCCAAATAGTTGTGATTGAATTTGGAATTGTAAATGTTCCGATATTTGCAAATATTAAGAATCTCTCTCCAAGAGTTGTGACTGTATTTGGAATTATAATTGTTTTGATGGATGAAGATACAAAGCAACTCTCTCCAATAGTTGTGGTTGAATTTGGAATTGTAATTGTTTCGATAGATGTATATTGAAAGCAATACATTCCAATACTTGTGAGTGAATTTGGAAGAACAATAGTTTTTATGTGTGAATCATGAAAGCAATACACTCCAATAGTTGTGACTGAATTTGGAATTATAAGTGTTTCAATGGTTGAATATGAAAAGCAATACTCATTAATTGTTGTGATTGTATCTGGAATTTCATATCCTGTTTTGTTACAAATAAAAAATAAAATACTTTCATTTTTTGAATAAACAGCATTTCCATCAGATGTTAAGTAGTTATTATTTGGATGAACCGAAATATTTGTTAATTTTCCATAATAAAATGCTTCTCCATGAATTTTAGAAACTTTTTCTGGAATTTGAAACGTAGTAATTGCAGTATAGGTAAATACATATCTTTCTAATGAAGTTAAATTTGATCCTTCTTCCAAAGTAACATTTTGTAGTTTATCACAATAATTAAATTCAGCTTTTTCTATTCTTTTAACAGATGCTGGTATAATAATACTTGTCATTTGTGTTACATACCAAAATGCATCTCTTCCTATTTCAAGGAGTCCTTCTGGTAAAAGTATCTGATTGACATTAGTGCAGTAATAAAATGCACCAGAAGATATTTTTGTAAGTTTCTTGCATGATGATAGATTTATAGTAGTAAGATTTGTACATCCACAAAAACTATTTTTTCCAATTGTAGTTAAGTTAGGATTTTCTTCAAATGAAAAGGAAAATAAAGTTTTGAGAAGGTAAAAGCATTGATCTTGGATGATTTCGCATGTGGATGATATCCTGAGGTCTAGTGATGTATCATTAACTTTTGTGAGGTTTTTGCCGTCACTAGAATAAAAACGTTTGTCAATATCTTTGTAAAGAAGTAATAAAAAAGTAATCATAATGAATTACTCAATTACACCTTCTCCTTACGTCGTTGTTTATGATAGAAATTTGAGAAAAAGATAGAGACCAACGCTCAATAAATTTTGAAAAAAAAAATTTTAAAAAAATTGAAAGAAACTATCACTATCAAAAATTGACAGTATTCGTTTTCACATTCTCAAAAAAATGAAATCTTATCTTTTCTTTTATTATTTTTAGAATTGAAAGATGGAATACAAAAATTTTTTACGGGTGCGACAAAAACCAAAAGTGAAATTTCACTAAAAGTGACGATTATTTTGAAAATTCATTATCCATGGCAATTATGTATACTATTCATCAGAACCTACTCTGTGGTATCATTTTATTTCTCGATGATGAAGTTTGAAGAATATTAAATTTGATGATTGAATTATTTGTATTATTTTAATAAATATAATTCATCAATACAAAAAAAAATGATTGTGTTATACTATATACTTCGATTATTGATATTAAGAAATGCTTTATTGATTAAGACAGATTCAATATTACATTCTTTTGCAAATATTTTCTTTCACATAGTGCAAATATCAATGAAAAAAAAAATGAATCTGGAAATACTTCTTTTTATTATTCAGCATTGAATAATAATAATAAAGAAACAGCAGAACTTATAATTTCATCTGGTGCAAACATTAATAATAAGAAAAAAATAAAAGAAAGAAAACACTTTTTAAAATAGTCGTGATTCTTAAAACATATGATACAAAACTATATTGTTTCTACATAAGATAATTTTCATTAGGAATAAATATATTTAATAGAAAACAGGATGTTGTTCATTATGATAAAATAAAAATAGTTTTACTTAGTAAGATGTTTCCAGAAAAGATGTGTAGAAGGATAACGTAAAGATTTGAGATTTAAAAGATTATTCGAAACATGTGCAATATGACATGAAATCATAAGTCTTCGTGGAATTCCGGAAGAAACAATCATTTTAAGATAATCTGTGGATGTGTTCTCAATAATAAGAGGACATCGAATGGATTTGCAATCATGGAATGCATCAATCTCAACATCTGAAACTGAAAGTGGGAAATTGATGTATTTCAGATTTAAACAGTTGTTGAATGAATGTTCTTCAATAACAGAAACACTGTCTGATGTAATATTGATTTTCTCAATGTTGTTGCTAGAATTGAATGAATAACTACAGATAACATCGCAGCTAATGTTGAGTTCTTTGTCTTTTGAGGAACTCAAATGAAAAATAAGTTCCCATTTATTATTGTTTTTGTAGTATAAAGTATTATCAATGCATTTGTATTTTTCTGATGAAAAATTACTGATATTTGTAAGAGATTCGCATTCTGAAATAGAATTAATTGAAAATGTATCAAGTGAGTTTGTTTCACTGAATATAATTGATTTTAGTTTCTTACAATAAAGAAATGAATATTCTGAAATGATTTTAAAAGATTGTGGAATTTTAATACTTAATAATGAAGAACAATTCTCAAATGATTTATATCCAATCTCTTCTGATCCTTCTCGAATTGTAACTTCTTCTAAATTAGTACATCCACAAAAACAATGATAAGGAATATTTGTGATATTATTAACTTTCTTTAATTTAATACAATTCTCAAATGCATTATTCATAACAGTCAA